GGACTTATTTAGGCAGGCAAGCATTATGGTCCATGCATTTCTTTGCTATTCAATGTGTCTGAATATCTTTCTCAAACAGTTGTCTGTATTTGAAATAATGATATTATTCACTCACTGAACCTCCAGATCAAATATTTTATTTTACACCTTGTTTTACACCTTTACACCTCAAACTTGGAGGAAGAAATTGATTTTGAGCATATGAATATTACATCTAAGGTTGTGGGAGTTTTCTCCCTTTAAACAGAGCTATATATTTGATTGCTTGAAACAGAGAATTGTTGAAGCAATAATTTTGCCACATGGTTGTTTTTTTTGTCTTTCGACGATTCGCTACACTGCAATTACAGGACTTATGTAGGCAGGCAAGCATTATGGTCCATGCATTTCTTTGCTATTCAATGTGTCTGAATATCTTTTTCCAACAGTTGTCTGTATTTGAAATAATAATATTATTCACTCACTGAACCTCCAGATCAAATATTTTATTTTACACCTTGTTTTACACCTTTACACCTCAAACTTGGAGGAAGAAATTGATTTTGAGCATATGAATATTACATCTAAGGTTGTGGGAGTTTTCTCCCTTTAAACAGAGCTATATATATTTGATTGCTTGAAACAGAGAATTGTTGAAGCAATAATTTTGCCACATGGTTGTTTTTTTGTCTTTCGACGATTCGCTACACTGTAATTACTTGAATTTTGGTTTTTTATCATGAATCGATTTCTTTTGATGATTAGTTCATGTGATAGGAATGTGCTTCAAAAGGCCAGCTAAAAATTGTTAAAAATATTGTCAATTATCAAATGGAGTAGGATTTTATTTGAAAGGACTATACTTTTTTTACTTATTTTATATGCCAGGTTGCATCCACAATAGTTTCAGCTTTTCTAGCCCAGTGGTTCTTGAGAAGAAAATTTTTCCTATATATTTCTATGTAAAACTTTGATTCCCCATTGTGGCCCCGTACCCCCGGGGGTTATGATTAGAACAATTAAGAATGTACACTACCCCAGGATGCTTCCACATAAGTTTCAGCTTTTCTGGCCTATTGGTTCTTGAGAAGAACATTTTGAAAAAAAAAATTCCCATATATTTCTATATAAAACTTTGATTCCCCATTTTGGCCCCGCCCTAGCCCCGGGGGTCATGATTTGTACAATTTAGAATTTACACTATCCCAGGATGCTTCCACATAAGTTTAAGCTTTTCTGGCCTAGTGGTTCTTACATGTAAGAAGATATTTTAATGATCCCACCCTATTTTTGTCTTTTTTTGATTATCTCCCCTTGTGAAGGAACTTAGCCCTTCATTTTAACAAATTAAATTTCCCTTTAACCAAGGATGCTTTGTATCAAGTTTAGTCAAAATTGGGCCAGTGATTCTTGAGAAGTCGAAAATGTGAGAAGTTTACAGACGGGCAGACAGACGGACGGACGACGGACAAAATGTGATCAGAAAAGCTCACTTGAGCCTTCGGCTCAGGTGAGCTCAAAATTAACACCTTCCTTATACGATTAAGGTATACCTTTACTCAGGTGACTAAAAATTCCACTGATAAGAACGAAAAACCACCTATTGCAGATTGTACACCTATGATTCTTGTGTTAAATTTCAATTTCAAATAACTAGGTCAATGACCTCGTTTTCGTGCTAAGGGCCCCTCGGGAAATACCTCAATTTTTCACACTATGACCATTTTTTTCTTCACTCACAAAATATTAAAAGCAACAAAACTTTTTAAATAATGAAATATTATAGCAATGGAACAGAGTTGCTCCATATAAAGAAATGAGTAGAGTTTGGGCCATAAACGTAATAATTATTACAGTCGGAATTTCCTCTGTCATATTTATATTTTTTCCCTATTTTCAATCAAATATTGCAAAAATCTCACTGATAAGAACTCTAAATTATTTATAGCCTCAGGTTACTTTTGTTACCCTCATTCTCATGGTATTAATATTATGTGGGGTCAATTATCAAACTGTTGAGATTTGTTGTCTGCAGTGGTTTTTGTACATGTTTTTGAATTTCTTTACTCATAGCATTCATTTATTTGAAATAATTTGTTAGCTTTTAAAAATTTGCAAAACGATGTCTTAAAATACATATAACCTTTACTTTGTGATTGATATTGCAAAAATAAAAATTTTGACAAAAGTGAAAAATTAAAAAACTTAGTCCCAATTTCCTCTGCATTGCCATACATTGAGTTTTGTTTCTGTATACATTTATTCTCTTCAAATACTTACATATTAATTTTTTAAATTCATATTGAGAAACTTTTGTTATTTTATCCATTTAGAACAATTTTTGATTGAATATATCATACTTTATAAAATTTCCTCTCTGATTTCTGAAACCTGAGTAAACGTCATCCTTAAATAAAATCTAGAACTATTTAAAATATATTATGTATTATCCTTTATTATGGGACAAAATAAATTCATAAATTATGTGAATTTTATTCAGAAAATAAAACTTCCTGCTGAACAAAATTTTTGAACATATGTATCTCATTCCAGGATGCACTGAGGAGAATATGCAGATAGCTTAATCTCTGTTATGCTTTCGGGAAAAAAAAACAAGAAATGCATCTGTTTAATATAAAAAATTAAAAAAAAAACGACGTTACATTTGGTCGGTTTCTTGCTTATCATTGGAACAAAATAACATATCAGGATCATTGAAAAACTAATTTAAAAAATTAAAAAAGAAGAGGAAGTATCTATCAAAGAATTTCACATAAAGTGGACACATAATCTAAAACCTTAGTAATCTAAAATTTAAATATGTTGATTTTTAATTTAATTTGCAGTTTCAGCATGTTATACATACAAGAATCATTTCCTTTTGGAATGAAATCAATGCCACTATATACATGATAGGCAGGCTGATTTTCACATAAATATGAATGAGATCTATTTTTAAACTTTGAAGATATGCGCATCGAAGTACAATAGAAGATTTAATGAACAGTGTATATACATTGTACATGTATTCTGCAACAGGTTAATATCGCCATACTTCCGCAGTCACCTCCATATGGTGCTTATGTCTCTCAAAGTATTTGCTAGTAGAGATGTTTCTGAATATGAATCGAATCCGAATCTGAAAATGAATATGAAACGAATCTGAATCGGAGGGATTTCGATCCCAATTCAGTTTAACATAGATATAACTCTAAATTATACACTGAGAGTATGATTACTGATGTTTTGTCTTTAATATATCAATAAATACTTGTAACTTGTATAAAACATTAATGTATGTGTACCCCCCCCCCCAACAAATGACAAATATACTGTATGAAATAAGTCTGATTTAATTTGTTTTACTATATGGATTTACAAATTAAGTGAAAATAAGGGTCAATCAAGTTTGCTAGATTAATTTTATTTTTTTCCCCGTGGCCTAAGGATTGTGTTTGAAATATCATCGGCGAACCAGGGATTTTGCTAGTGGCGACAATGGGGAAAGGGGGGGGGGGGGTAGGTTATATCAATAAATACACATTGGCATGTTTTTGGAGTTTTAATTCTTTTTGACAAAATTTGGGTATAGCGAGATATTCTGATATATGGGCGCTGACATGTTCGCACTAGGGAATAAGCGAGGGGTATGTGATTCGCAAAGAAGGGGGGGGGGTAATAATTGATTACTTACATGTATATAGCACACAATAATAAATTTAAAGAACAACATAATCAAAGACACTTTGCTCTCATGGTCGCTACTGATCAGCTTTTCATTTGAAGTCGTCGAAACTAATGACATGATACAAGGTCTATAAGAACTGAGGGAGAGTTCCCCACCCTTTCTATTAATTTTCGCATTGTAAACTTCAAAATATCTACATTTACAATGCCTTAAAGTTTTAAAAGATAAAATTACAAATAGTTAATGAACTTAATTTCTACATAAATGTACTGGCTCATCAAAAGGTGCTGCATGTGGATTGGCGGAATCAAGAGCATGTAAAGATAAGTAAAAACTGTCAGATTTTTCGATTTTATGACGATGATCAATCGATTTGCTTTCGACAAAAATTTGGACTGCAAGACATTGCATGGTCATAAGATAACGTTGTTAAAAATAATATTTTAAAAATGATATTTTCAATTACGTCTTAATACATATATAAGATGACTCGTTTGAATACATTTACTCTTAATAAGGTTCAGAACACAATTCTTGCGAGGAACAAATAATGTAAGCTAATGAAAAATACAACAATGACATTTTCGAACAGGTTTTTCCATGAATTGAAAGGGTACTTATTCTGTTATTCAGTCTATAGAATTTGACTTATCCAATTTAAAACAATAACAATCCCAGTGACAAAAATATAAACACCGTACACTATTTATTTCCCTTATTGTTACATGTACAGTGACGATTTAAAAAGCGAATTTAGGAAATATTCTTTTTCTATTGCATTTATCAGTTTTCAAATCGGGATCGGGATCTCACCGATTCAGATTCATTTTCAGATTCGGATTCGATTCATATTCAGAAACATATCTAGTCAGGTGCATGTTCTGAGTACAATCAGTGTTTATAAAGAGACAGGCTACTCACGCTTAAGTTGATATTACAGGGAGTCTGCATTTCGTAAATTCTATGGTCGTTATGATAACCTTATCGGCAAATATAAATTATATCTGGGTCACATTTTGGCTGAGCTGTTTAATACAAATTGTAATGCCTTTATTTTTGTACCTAATTTCACCAAGAAATGTTCCAGCTACGTGATCAACACATGGAGTTTATGGTGAGTGTTACCGCTCATAGCAAGGGATGCTTACTTTCCCTAAGCACCTGATCCTGCCACCTGTTGAATTTCCAGAGGTCTGTGCTTATGCCCTTTTCGCGAAATTGTATTGTTTATTGTTTTTATTAGATCATTCGTTGTTAATTACATGCGTCTTCTTTTTTTATTCACAGCAATCATAATATCATTTTGGACTAAAGTTGAAAAAGTATACAAATAAAAAGATATAATTTATTACACAAAGCAGTATATTTTTTCAAGTGATTTCAAAATAAATGCAGTCACGTTCTCACACATGCATAAATTCCACGAAATTAGACATGTTGATAGTTAAATATAAAGTTGCTGTAATTAATCTTATGCATCATAAAAGTGTAAAATGAAAAGTTTATCTATGAAGCATTTGAAAACACCAAAAGGTGGCGCCCAACTTGATTCCATATCAAAATTTTGTTCATCACTAAATGTATACCGCATCGTTATGTACAAGTTCCTTCACACCAGGCAGGGCAGGTTGTACCTCTTCTACAAAGAACCTCAGACAACCGGTTAGCAAGGTGATGGCAGTTGTTGGTGAGCAGGTTGTAACTTCCATACTTACATTTGTAATTTTTAGCACAACCTTCTATGCACTCTGGGCTGAGTTCGCTGTAACCGGCTGGGGAGGCTTCCTTACTCCCGCTACATGAATCTCCCCATAATCGTGTTTTAGAAATTGCCACTTCTGAGTTAGCTAAAGACGGGAAAGATAAATTAGAGATACCAAAAATCAAAAGCGAAAGAAAGTAGTCTCATTTAATTATCAGAAAGCCTGACTTATTATCTATGTTTCATATTAATCTCCTGACTGCAACAACACATTTGCTTCAATATTAATTAAAAATAATGCAAAATACATGTACTTATTTTCTTGCTGTATTTACTTTCTTAATTTCGTTTTAAGTCATTATTTCGTAAGATCTATGGTCGATACCATGACCTTGTTAGCAAATACAATTTATCATTGAGTCAAATGCTGACTTTTTCATACTAATTGTTAGTCCATTATTTACACACTGGATTGATGACGGATTTTTTTTTAACTATTTCCCTATCATGACAAGGAGCACACGGCGGGTGTGACCGGTCGGCAGGGGATGTTCACACCTCCGTGACACCTGATCCCACTTCTGATGTTTTGGAGTTCTGTGTTTTCTCTGCTCCAATAATTAATTTTGTACTGTTTAACATGGACTTTTGTGCTTATATACTGTTCGTTATCTCCATGTATTTCAATTTATCATAATAAAAATTTTTGATAAAGTATCGTGTTTTTTCTTTGAGCATAAAAATTAGTCACATTGGAAAAAAGTGATATTATAGTATCAGCAAACAATTGGCAAATGATTATACATGTAATTTTATTAACATTAATTTCGGAAACAAGAAAGTTAGCTTTTAGACAGAAAGATCATTGAATTAGGAAAATTAAAGCACTTACACAAAAAATCATAGTAATTTCCTCTGTATTCTATGAAGCGGTGGGACAAATCCAGAGTTCCTCTTGCAGGAGCACTACGTTTTCCCCTTTTCAGGCTTTGTATTACCACGCAGAAGAGATCAGTCGTGCCAAAATAATACGGATAAGCTCCATCTGTTTGCAATAGAATTTGTATTTCAGGGTGAATCCATAAAGATAAACAAGATGTGTTTGTAAAACACTGATGCCCCCGTATGGCAACATAGCGAAGGTTAAGCTTTCTCAAATGCAGATCCTATATGTTGGTTCCTTGAAGTAAGGTTTTTCCACAAGAAATACAAATGTGGAAAATAAAACCCTAGCTCCACCAGTTCAAAGGTTATGACGAAGGTTAACGTTTTTAAAGGTAAGACAAACTCCGGGGTCAAGGTTGTTAGTTTCTAAAGAAAGGCCTTGTCTCAAAAATTACATTTGGGAAGTATGAAAGCGCTGACCCTTACCGTTCAAAAGTTATGCAATGCTAAAGTTTGTAAAAAGTAGATCAAACTTCAAGGTCAAAGGGTTAAAATTGTTGATATCCAATGAGAGGTCTTGCCACAAGGATTACATACGTAAAGTATAAATTACTGTTCAAAAGTTATGGCCAAGGTTCAAGTTAAAAAGTATGTCAAACTACAAGGTCAAGGTCAAATGGTCAAAGTTGTTGAAAAAGTCGTCTCACAAGGATTACATTTGTGAAGTATGCAAGCCTTAGTCCTAACTGTTCAGAAGTTATTGCCAAGGTTAAAGTTTTTTCGTAAGTACAAAAATCTCCGAGATCAAGGTCAAAATTGTTGGTTTCAAATGAAAAGTTTTGTCACAAGAATTGATATTTGAAATATGCAATTCCTAGTATTTTGAAAATTAGGACCAAAGTAAAAGTTTGGATTTTTTGTTTAAAAACGAGTCAAACTCCAAGGTCAAGGTCAAAGAGTCAAGAATCTTGATATCAAAAGAAATGTCTTGTCACAAGGATTAAAAAGGTGAAGTATGAAAGCCCTACTTTTAACCTTTAAAAAATTATGGTCACGGTTGTATTTCAAAAGTAGGTCAAACTCCAAGGTCAAGGTCAAAGGGTCAAGGTTCTTGGTATCCAATGAAGCGTCTTATCACAATAATTACATAAGTGAGGTATGAAAGCCCTAGTCCTCACATTTCAAAAGTTATGGCCAAGGTTAAAGTTTTTTCAAAAGTATAGAAATCTCCATGGTCAAGGTCAAATGTCAAAGCTGTTGGTACTCAATGAAAGATCTTTCCAAAAAAAATGTATATGTGAAGTATAGAATTCCTGTTACTATTTAAAAGATATGGCCATAGTAATAGTTTGGAATTTTTTGTGTAAAAGTGAGTCAAACTCCAAGGTTAAGGTCAAAAGGTGAAATTTGGTGGTACCCAAAAAAAGGTCTTGTCACAATGAATACATATGTGAAATATGAAAGTCATAGCTCTACTAAATCAAGTGTTATGGGCATGGTTAAAGTTTTTGCGCACAAACAGACAGCTAGACAGACAGACGAACGGACACGAATAAAGCTATATACCCCCCTAAACTTAATTTACAGGGGCATAAAAGTACCAAAGTTAAAAAAAAAAAAAATAAAAATAAATACAGATATTGATTTTGATTGAACTGCATTTTAGCGACATCAACTTCATCTTCGCAAGCCAAGGCTTCATTCCCCGGCGAACCAGAAACCCTTGGCTTGTGAAGATGCATCAAATCTAATGGCCTGTAAACAGAACTTTTTGAAAAATCAGAGCTCTTATAGGGAACACAATGTTAACATAAAAATGAGATTTACTATTATAAAATTTAAGCAATTTAGCATTTAAATAAACAAAATCTTCATTCAAAAGAATATTTTTACTTTTTAATAGAACTTTAAGCTAAGACGTTTTAAAATTTTAATAGTAACGTTAAGACGAAAATCGATTTGCTTACCAATATGGGCCAGTATATTAAATCATTAAGATTACTAATCAATTTTCACAATCATCACACACCTCGTTTAGAACAATCGTTGTCGTTTCCCTTTTTACCCCACGGCAACCAACCGTCAACATTGAGAAACAAGGAAAATATGAGCGTAACAACCTAAAAATTAATACAGTCTATATTTTGTTAATTAAAACTGTCTAATATACAGAAATCAAAATTCATCTTTAATCAAATTTCAAAATGACTTACTGTTAAGAACAGCATCTTGGTTTCCTGAAAGTTTTCGTTGATTTCTTGTTTAGACGGGTTCATGTATTTTAATTCTACTAGGATTGGAATATGCACAAGTGCATACACTGGGTGAATTTTTATTACCTGTTTTTTTCTTCCTTGTTATTTTATGGTTATATTATGTCATTGATAACTTGCCGCGATCACTTAATAATATGCAGTTTGTCAATACAAAACCTGTTAAAACACCAAGAAGGCGTAAGTTACGTGCAATGTGAAAGTTGTAGCATGACATGTACAAAATACACCATGGAACAGAAAAGGAAATATGTTTTTTAAAACATTAATTCATAACGATAAAAATTAATATAATTTAATGAATTGAGTTACTTGACATAACTTAGGGAAAATCCACGTGCCTATGATATGAAAGTCCTCAAAATAAATTAAATAAAAATGATGATAATGAACAGGAATCATGCCCAAAAGTCCATTCACAAAATATAAATCAGGAGAAGAGCAAACGCCGATTTCTACAAACATTAGAGGAAGGATCAGGTGCCATGTACAGGGTTGTACGGTAAAATCGTCTAGACAAAGCGTTTTTTTTTCCGGAAAATTATTGGCACACTCTTTTATTATTATTATTTAAAAAAATAGGATGTACATGTACTGAAATTAGATAAATAAACATTTGCTGAAAATTTAATTCAGTGCGCTAATAATTATTCGAGAAAAACGCTTTATTTAATTTATTTTGAGGACTTATATATCAGAAACATATATGGATTTCCCTAAGTTATATGTCATGTAACTCAATTTATTAATTCATATTCATTTTTTATTGTTAACAATTAATGTTTCCTTTTCAATTTCTGTTACATGATGTAATTTGTACATGACACAACTTCCACATTGCACGTACATGTAACTTAAGCATCTTGGTGTTTTAACAGGTTTTTGTCTTGAAGAACTGCATATTAAAGTAATATCGCGTTTAGTTTACAATGACATAAAATAACCAAAAAAATAATAAGGAAGAAAAAAGCAATAAAAAAAAAATCACACAGTGCATGCACTTGTGCTTATTCCAATCATAGAGGAAAATACATAAACCCATCTAATCAATCGGAAGGCCTCGGTAAAGAAGCTACTTAATTGCGAACGACATCAAAGAAGTGAAAAATCTGCCGGAATATTTATCAGTGTTTATATAATAAAATTTTATTATAATTATATATATTTATCATAAACCAAAAACATATTTTTGACAAAAAATTTAAAAATTGGTTTTCTAAGAGAGAAAAAAACTGTCTTTGCTACATGTATGACGTCACAATTAATCTCCTATATACACGTAATAAGTAGAAGGCGCTGTTGTCTCATTGTGACGTCATACTATTATTTCTCACACCATCGGCGACAAGCAACATGATTGTTACAACTGTATTGCTTTTTCATGGGGCAAAGTGGTTTTATGAAAACTATATGGGTAAGAAGTGTTTGAGGCATTTAAAAAATAATCGTAAACTTTTATAAATGAAACAAAGATTTAAATAGGCCTTCACTAAATGAAGGCTTTTAAACTGCATTTATTATTTTTCAGCACCGCGACCAAGAGTTAGGGTTATTATTAACCCTCAGGACTTAGGAAGTCCAGTTGATCCGCCCCACTACGAGAACTTACGGATACATAGAGGCCCGGACGGTGACCATAATTAAGGTTAGTTAACATGATAATTAATTGTTTTCCTATCGTGCGGGATCTCGGCACATACATGCATATACCGTTTCTTGGTTGGATTCCACTTTCCACTCAGCGCGCAGAGTTTTGACGCTGTTTACGGAGATTATAAATGAAAACAAAGACATACAAGCCGTATATGGTTGTGTACATAAATTATCGAAGAAGACAATGGTAATAAAAAGTTTGCCAGTGCTTTTTATCTGAAAGTGTAAATGAGTGCGTTTCTGAGAAGGGGGTACTGAGTGTAATTCGGAGTAAGATACCTAGTGTTATTATTATACTATGGGTTTAAAATTTATTTCTGAAATCAGTGCCTGTGATTTCTAATAAAAACTCCCATTAAGCCGAATATTCGGGGAAGGGAGGGGCTGAAACATCCCGGTGCCAAACAAACGAAGACCCATTGGAAACATGTAATCGACCGAGGTGAACCGAGTATGTGATGGCGCGGAAATAAAAGTACGTCACTGTACGATAAAAGAAATGAAAGAGAAGGCGTTTAGTTCTGCAGATTTGAGTATCAGAAGAAGAGCAGAAAAACGGAGAGCCGACGTAGGCCTAATGTCGTCTGATGAAGCACTGTATTCATTTAAAGAAAATACACCCAGATGTATGGGCGGCGGAAAGGGTAAAAAAGACGTTTATGCAAAACTAACAACTAATTTTATAAACATAATGAAATACAAAACATACAACCTTAAAAACAAAATTAACAGACTCGTTTGCAAAATCAACAGACTCCGATGCGAAATCAACGATCACCAATGCAAAACCAACGGTTAATTTTAAAAACATAATGAAATACAAAACAGACAATCTTAAAAACAAAATCAACAGACTCGTTTGCAAAATTAACAGACTCCGATGCGAAACCAACGATCACCAATGCAAAACCAACGATTATTTACTGAATTGTCGCTAGATGGCGTGCAAAAAAACATATATTACCTGAATTAACGCTAGATGGCGCGCAAGTTTTTCTACGTCATCATTATTTTTGTACTTTCATAGGAACGTAAATGGATCGTGTCTACAATTATACAGTGAAGGTCAAATGGCTTAAAAGTAGCACATAAAGGAAATTCACATGCCTCCCTTTCAATGATAAAAATAAAAACATGCTCATATGTTTGTGAAACTTTCTGGATATAGAATAAGTTTAATGTCAAAAGTTTACAATGATATGCACAAGATGCATCAAGGTGCATTTCAAGCATAAATTATGCATAGAAATATGTATTGAAATGAGAGGTCATTTGGTTTGTTTACACATTTTAAGCCAAGCGAGAGCTATTCGGAGGTCATGACGTCAGAAGTTTATTAATAACCAGGATGTCCACATTGAGCGCCCCCATTTTTATGTGAATATTTATCTGACACATTGTTCTTTCATGTGTCAAAAAATATTTTGGAAATGAATCTTCTTTAAAAAGTTACAAAGAAAACAAAACACATATTTTTACTTTACAAGTCTATATATGTACATGTAAGAAAATTGTAGTCCGGGTCCAAATCCCTCGAAATTTCTATCAACATCCATTTTGCAAACCTCAGATAATAGAATCATGTCGGACTTTTAAAATTCAAACAAGACAAACGACTGTTGATACATGAAAAATCACTTGTCAAGTTGTACTTTTATCATTTTTGCTCTTCTCTGTATGACTTAGCTGCAGATCTGTAGCTCTCCGAAAAAAATATTGATAGACCGGATCTATCAATATATATTATATTTTTTGGAGAGCTACAGATCTGCAGCTATGTATATGACTAAGTGATGTCTGCTAAATTTGTTTTAGAATAAGTTAATTTAGGAAGTAGTCTCATTAAAATCAGATCCTTTAATCCGCTCACATAAATCGCTACTTGTTTAGCGATCTATGTGCGCGGATCAAAGGATCTGCACACGTGAAAAAAAAAATTGGGGTTGGATTGTTTTTATTGAGGTGGAACACCCCCCCCCCTTCCCGAAAAACAGGATCTGCGCCTGTACAGATAAAATTTAAAGTAAGCTTTAGTTTACTTTAATAAAAACGCAACAAATATGAAAAAGCTCTTTCTTAGAATATATTAACTTCCCCCAACTCCCTCTAGATCCACCACTACATTTCTTCTCTTTCAGTCTCTTGAGATGTGGCGGGAAAATGCATGGCACATTGTAAAACACGCTTTATCCTAGTCTCTTGGACCAAAATGTTGTACGATTCTGTGCTTTTATGAAATAAATATTTTATCAAAGTTTTGAAAATTTTCCACAGAAAATGTATAAATATACACGTCATTTCAAAATAAATACAACAAATCCCGTATAAGCTGTTTAAAAAGAGAAAGTAAAATTGTTGATTTATAACGCGGTCTTTGTTTTAGACTATGCCTACAAATAACTTCGCCGCACTTCAATCATGTCGGAGTATGTCAATCAGGATTGGATGAAACACTTACCCCCATTATTTATATGATTTTAATTTCATGATTATTGTGCTTTTTGTTAAACATTTAAAAATATCTTTGTTTAATATTCTATAACATGAACTTTAAATATTTTTATTTCAGTTGTTCTAACTCCGCAGAAACGCACGTCGACTTCAAACTTTCATATCAAGTAACCGACCGCCTCCTGGCGGCCGGTAATGATTTCTCTAATTTGTTTCCCCTCTATTGGTTTATTCCAAATTTTAATGGACTAGTCCAATCACCACAAACGATCGACGCAGTACAACCAGATTCCAGGGGATTTGACGAAAGAAATTACCTGTGCGAAATCTTGGATTTCTTTTCCACAAAGGCCTAAATGTTGGTTTTACCTATTTCGTTCTCAAAAAATTATAGTATCCACCTTTCAGAAAAAAAAAATCAATGAACACAAACTACTACCAACTGTTTACTTCATCGGAGAAAATACTTTCCTTCAACATATGTATTTAGTTATATCCATTCTCTAAAATGTTCACAATGAATGATTTGACAACAGATTTCAGAATAGGTGTAGCTTTAAATTTATATCCAGGGGTAGATCAATCTACTTGCAGAAAAGTCAATCGCATCATCGCATCCATCGTCAGAGGTCGAAAAACAAACTCGAATGTATCGACATCATCTGATGTTAAAAATTTCTACATTTCCTGTTGAAGCCCCTTTTATAGTATATCTTAGATAATATCATTACATTGAATAAAGTTAACTCCATATTCCACATATAATAGGTCTATATACATCATCCATGCTTTTTTTTTCGAAGTTTGTGAAAAGGGGGGGGGGGTCAATTACATATGTGGTCTTCTTCCCTAGATAAGGCCCGAGAAGTGGGACCGAGGAGTTGCGATTGGCAGAAAATCCACATACATTAACCATTCTGTTAACAACTCTTCAGAATGCAGCAAAGGCATCGTTCTTCTACAAGTTATATAATTAAATGTTTTTACAAGGTTCTCAGATAAAAAGACATATTTCAAACACAAAAAAGTATTGCTCAAAAGGTTTATCACTTCTCTTACAGATATTGATTGATTAAGTCAGGCAAGCTTTCTGAAAAGCTGTTACTTGTACTCCTGTACAAGGTGTGGTGGGATCTTTGGCATGGTATGCGCAGTAGCCCTTGTCCCATGTGCATTTTGCCTTATTTCTCCGAGTCCGAAAACAGTATCCCCCGAACCTGGAGTAATCGCTGTCAGGACTACATTCCTTCACCTTATTTTTAGGCCAAAAAAAATATGGATCTTGCCTTAATTTCTTTTCTTTATATATATTTTAAAGTACTCAAGTCATACCCTAAAGTATACACAGGGTCAATCTAATAGATAAAAATGGGTATATATAATGTACTATATATCGGTAGCATATGATCCCTTATTATATGTATTCCGATATACTAGTACAAATAATTTCGATACCGATAATACATTCTATAATACATTCCGAGGTTTACCAATTGGATACTGATATATAATTTCGCATGATTAACGTCCCTATGAAAGTACAAAAATAATGATTACGTAGAAAAACTTGCGCGCCATCTAACGTTAATTCAGGTAATATATGTTTTTTTTTTTTTGCACGCCATCTAGCGATAATTCAGTGAATAATCATTGGTTTTGCATTGGTGATCGTTGATTTCGCATCGGAGTCTGCTGATTTTGCAAACGAGTCTGTTGATTTTGTTTTTAAGGTTGTCTGTTTTGTATTTCATTATGTTTTTAAAATTAACCGTTGGTTTTGCATTGGTGATCGTTGATTTCGCATCGGAGTCTGTTGATTTTGCAAACGAGTCGGTTGTTTTTGTTTTTAAGGTTGTCTGTTTTGTATTTCATTATGTTTATAAAATTATTTGTTAGTTTTGCATAAACGTCTTTTTTACACTTTCCGCCGCCCATACAGATGGCAACTAGCGTATTTAGAAGCATTGGGGGTAGTTTATGATCAAAGTGACATTCCTCTTTGCAATTTGATTGACCGTGTAAAACAAACGGAATGGAGAGGACATGTGTATTCATCAACATTATCACCGAAACACTTATCTGTTTTTGCAGATATAATGCAAGGATATCTTACTTTCTGTTTACCATTTGAGAATGGTCCAAGACCGATAACCTGTATCACTCATAGAACAAATAGAAGATGCTCGCGAAAAGATTAACGATGGCTCACTAAAATCAAATGATTTGTTGGATTCATCAGGAACAAGAACTAAAAGGTAGGTGTTGTTTTTTTTAAATTTCATTTAGTTCACTCTTCGGTTTTAAACTACAGCACAGTAGGTGTCCAATAAGATTCAACTTATTGGACAGGTACAGGTAACATTCAAAAAGAGAACAAAGGGCGAGGCTGTTCGAATTGCAAAATATCCGGTCCACTTGGTTTTATTTTATAGTTTTAATTTTCTAATTTCAAATATCCACTGACCTGGTTAGCTAATGCTCAGAGTTACAAACTTCGTGAGGTGTCGCATAGAAACAAAAGTGTTACAGACAGAAAGAAATACAGACAGATCGACAAACCAAAAGTAATCTTCCCTAATTTCAGTGACAAAAAAAATGACGAAAGTCTTTACAAATTCTTTGACGTCAAAAGGGAAAAGAGCCCTTAGTTACTTAAATACTTTGAATCATGTTTTATTTGCGAGAACTTTATTTTCGCATAATTACGCGAAATTACGCAAGAAAATGAGGTCGCGAAAATTTCATTCTCGTGTTTAAAAGTATTCCTTAATTAAGCTTATATAGAGCAATGACTACATTTCGTGAAAATTATGTCTCGCTAATAAAGAGTCAATGACTATCTCGCGAAAATAAAGTGTCGCGAAAATTTAGTGATCTACAGTACTGGTGATGGTGGTGAAGATTTGCTTTTTTATTTTAAAAAGTCTTTAAGCAGCCAACCATTCAACATGTTCAAGTACACTTTATAATGCCGAAGTATACGACGGCGTATTCGTGCCATTTTAACAATGTAAATTTTTTTTTTAAATCGTTTGTACGATTTAATAAATCGTTTGTACAATTTAATTAATCGTTTGTACGATTTAATAAATTGTTTGTACAATTTAGTAAATCGTTTGTACAATTTAATAAATCGTTTATACAATTTGCTTGTTAAATCGTTTGTACAATTTATTAAATCGTACAAACGATTTATTATATTGTACAAACGATTTATTAAATCGTACAAACGATTTAATAAATCGTACAAACGATTTAATAAATCGTACAAACGATTTAATAAATCGTACAAACGATTTTAAAAAAAATCTACATTGTTAAAATGGCACGAATACGCCGTCGTAGAAGTATTTTAAGTTTGTATTTTTCTTTTCTGTTTTGCAGAGAATATCTCTTATGGCAAGCCAGAACAGATGATTTCCTCAAGTATTTAGGAAAATTTCAAGAAATTAGATTTTCTTGTCCACTGAGGAAAAGCCAGTACACCCATTTGTTTATGAAATTTGCAGAAATCTTTTCTCTTCAACCTGAGTAAGTTGTCAGACAAGTTATGATTGAATTTAAATAATTTTTAACTAGCAAATGAGTTCATGTGGATTTTTTTATTTAAACTCTCCCTTGAAAGTTCGTACATGTATTATATTCAAACTTAATCAAAACTATAGGCAATGTAAGCACAGGGTGAGCTCACTAAATGATAACAACATCCCCCCCCCCAATGACAAAGTCCATTTTTCGATCAGGGAAACCTGAAATAACCAGATTATAAGTAAAATAGGAGATGCATTATGACATTATGTATTAAAGACAAATGGATATCACAATCACTATATATCCTCCCACTTATCAAGTTGGGTGTATAAAAAAGTACATGTATTCATATATTAAAACGAATCTGTAAATTTGTAAATTTCTTTTTAGGCTTGGAGGTAATCGTGAAGCTACCATTGCCATAGGCCATCAAAAGTCATTGTCTTCTCCTGATGTGCGATTTGTTAGCTACCCCAAGTGTACACCTGCAACAGTTCTAACAGCACACATAGAGGTAAAAAAAAATTTAGATTGAACTTAAAGCTGTAAACTTTTGCTTTATCTCTGTGCATTTAGGCTAATAACTTCTAATCTGCCTTATCTTTGTATGATAAAAACTGTAAATCTCTGCATAATCTCTATACATTTAAGGCTGTAAACCTATGCTTAATCTGTTTAGTGTACAATAAGGCTGTAAACTGCTTATTAATAATCTCTACATGGTCTGTAAACCTCTGATTTGTCTCTGTACATTTAGGCTGTAAACCTCTGCTTAATCTCTGTACAGTGAGGTTGTAAATCATCCACTTAATCTCTGGACAGTGAGGCTGTAAACTTCTGCTTAATATCTGTAGTGTACAGTTAGGCTGTAAACCTACACTTTATCTCTGTATAATGAGGCTGTAAACCTCTACTTAATCTGGTGTATGGGGAAAGCTGTAAATCTTTACTTGATCTGTTGTATGGTGAAAACTAAAACTCTACATATTCTCTGTATGGTTAAAGCTGTAAAGCTCTGTTTAATCTCTTGTATGGTAAAAACTGTAAACCTCTGCTAAATCTCTGTACAGTTAAAGGGTTTTTATCATGCATCATGATTTTTTGATATAACAAAGTTTATATGCTATTAAAATCATCCATCAAAATTTTTTGGTTAGAAAATTAATATTTTGGTTGTTTCAGCGATTCAAAGTTTAAATTTCTCAATATGCATATTTTGATCGCCGATGTTGCGCGCCATTGCTCTGACGTCATAGGTGTCAGTCCTGGTCAAGCGAAGTACTTATTGTGTTTACAAAACGACCCAATGGCTTCGTCTATAAACCCTACTAGTAATTAAGAAATGATAATTGGTTAATAAATAGATATTTATAAATAATTTGTGGCGTTTAGATGAAAAATCAGCACAGGAAAGGTTTTAGGAAGTTTCTTTTACCTGCCAGGGACTTGGTCGGTGCGAGGATTTGTCTATATATTCAGAGCATTGGTTTATGTACGATCAAAATTTTTCTGTATTATATAAAATATATATTTAATGGAAATAGTATTTTTTTTTCAAAAAAAAAAATCAATATGCATTTAATGCACAAAGACTAGTGTTGTGAAGCTCGTAATGGCGTACCATTGCGTACGGCGCCATTGAAGATCGAAGTGTCCTTTCTATCAAATGATGTTCATTGCTGGAACAGATAGAAGATACACAAGATCTGTTTATGTATAATTTATTAAAATAACGAAGAAAGAAAACGTATGACCATTTTTATAATTATTTAAGAAGTCAAAGGTTAATAATTCGATCTATTTGGTCGAAGCCACAGGAGTTGTCAACGGCTTCGTCTTCAATGCCTTCTCCTCTTTTCACGGTGTGTTTTTTATTTATTTTTATGCTGTAGAAGTTAAAACATATAAGATTGAGCATCCATAGCCAAAGTAATATTGTCAATATCAAAATTTCTTTCAACCTAGTGGTGTATTCTTTTTATTTCAGGCAAATATCTATACGGTATAGATGTTTTCTTACGATACGCTTTACGAGGTCTTATTGCCCATTGACACCTATGACGTTTCAGTACCACGTGACCCCTATCTAATTAGTGGAGATTTTCAATCTGAAGACCCTACATTACGGACATATTATGGCTTAAATACGACAGTTTAAAGCATTATTTTATGATTAAACGATAATTATATGTTTCAAGAATATAATAGTGTTTAATTTTTAAGAAATTTCTATGCGTGATAAAAATCCTTTAAGCTGTAACCCCCTGCTTAATCTCTGTATAGTTAAGCTGTTACCCCTTGCTTAATCTCTGTATTGTTAAGCTTTAAACATCTGCTTAATTTCTGTACATTTAGGCTGTTAATATCTGCTTATTCTCTTTAATGGTGAAAACTGTAAATCTCTGCTTAATTTTTGTACAGTTTAAACTGTAAACCTTTGTTTAATCTTCAAACAATTGATTAACCAAAGGTATAGGCATCCATATGGAAAATTCCTTGATACCCATATTGCTACATTAAAGAATTTCAGTATTTTGAAATTAAGGGATTTGATTTTTCTCTTAATTAGGTGAATGGTTTTTCTCACAAGGAGAAGGGGACAGTAGGTTTTGATATACATGAGTTATCCCCCAGTATCTTAGGACAACACGGAGGAGAACTAATGGCTGAGAGACAGAGCTCATTCTTCACACCTGGTGTCCTTGGACTGATTTGTTTAAAGTCAAAGGTGTGTTATCTTGTATTTCTTTACAGTATCAAGCTCATAAAGGCCATACAGCAATATTTTTACAACTTAAGGATACACCAAAGGTTTCCAAAGGGCAAAGTTTAATTTCCTTGTAATTCTTTTATTAACAAAGATAACATATTAAAAGTATATATTATTTGAAAGCTTGTTAAATTTACTATCTAATGATCTTAATTTAAATTTTCATTTTTATCTTATTAAAAAATTATTAATATTTTAATGTAATTATTAGTGCATTTATATTTTATAAATCAACTTTTTTGTATTCCACCTCTCAAAGTCAAAATTTTGCCTCAATGTAGATTAAAGATTGAACTTTAATACCGTATCTCAGATTTTTGATAAATCTTTTTATTCAAAAGTTACATCCATTTGTTTTTCAATGTTACCAATTTATTAGCCCAATTCTACATTTCCCCCAATAATTCGAGAACTGAGCAAGATATCAAAAATCTGAGATACGGTTTTGTGAACACACATTTGAGACGCATTCTGGCCAGTTTTCAGAGAAATTGGTCAATAAATAAGGGAGCTGAATCCTTTGAAATAATACCACAAACTGTCTGATCTTACTTTACAGTAGAGGGCAAAAACCCATTACAAAACAAAGTCTGCCAAAGCTAGAAATATATGACACCTTGGAGATTCAGCTTTGGATATCTGTCACTTATCCATATTTCCTATGCATATTCACAAGAATGGGAGGTTCTTTTCTTTATTTAGGTGCTTTTAATTAAGTAAATAGGTTCAATTCTGAATCAGAAAGATTTCCCGGCAAAATGGCAAGAGCTAAGCTCCACCTCCTATTTCATGGTCATTAGTGACCTGTTAGATCTCCTTCCCTAATTCTAGAGTCCCTGTAGTTTAATTACTGATAACCTCTGTGTGGCTAGTGAAGAATTCCCCAAGTGGTCACAGTGATTTATTGCTCCTTTCAGAAGCAGGCAGTTGCAGACCAAATCAGAAGCTTCAATAACGGCACATTCACATGTGTTAGTGTTTATGTTTGATTATTGTCAAATAATTAGAAAACCATTTAATAATCAGCAAGAATTTTTCATGCATTATAAAGCAGTGATTAGCATTGTTTTCTTAGCCAAAAATCTCAAAATTGACAAAAATCTTGGAAAAAGCCTTTGGTGTATATACATTTGTCATTTTAAGATCCTTGTGAATTTTCAAAGTACCCGGTACCATAACACACAACCATTCTTCCCAAATTTTAAGAAAATTTCTATTTTCTTTGTCAGTAGGCATATAAAGGTTATGTTCTAATCTCATTGTTTATTTGTAGATTATCTTTACGTTTTTGGAAATAAATGGGGACCACTACAAATGTATAAAGAAGGGACTTGATTGCATCCATATCTTACACAAAGCCTTATGATTACTGGGACCCAAAAGACAGAGAAGAAATATACAGTACTCTGTTTTGGCTTGGCAATCTGCAGTCCTTAGAAAATTTAGCACCATGATAGAATGATAGATTGTTCAAGTGTCTCTCTCAGACCAACTTTGACAAGGGCACCGCAAGGCAGAGAATCCTCTTGCCAAGGAGATAAAAGTGCAGCAAGAGGATAATTGGTTTATTAATATATAGTATCCGTGATGTTTGTGTCTGTATGTGAGGCATCCCATTTGCCAACAGGGGCTAGAATCAAAGGCACGAGTGGATAATTGATTTATATATCAACATTTATATCAACATGATCAATGATGAAGTATAAGTGATGTGTGTGTGTACCAGTATATGTTAAACAGATTTAGGTAATGCAGTGAAGTGTTTTCTTCATAAACAGTGGCTCATATTGATGAAAAAACCATGCTGAACTAGTATACCCCGGTAAATAGGTTCTCTAGCTTTCTGTTGTCCATTTGATTATTCAGAAACTGGGAAACGTGTTGGGAGAGTATTGTTATGATTTGTATTATTCAATTCATGCACTTTGGTCTCTATATGAAATATGCATTTTTGCATTTATAAGTTGAGACTGCATAAAAAAAATATGGAACATTCATGTTGCATAAATTGTTTTGATGACTGTATGCATGGTATATAGTGAGTCCCTGATACTGGTATGTATTTTCAAGGAAAGTAAAGTAAAAGGATGTGTAAAGCTTTGCATGCGTGCATAGCATGTAACAGTGGTAAACTTCTATTTTTAAGTTTTCAAACCATTTGCTCAGTCAATTGGTTTAAATTAAAAGAGTTCTTTAGAACAATCTGTTAATTATCTCTGAATGGATTATACCTTTTTGTCAGTAAAGCTCGGAATGTTCATTTTAAAGCTATTCAAGTGTTCAAGAATTTTGTTGTGAGAATTTAATTTTTTTTTTTTTTTTTTTTTTATTTAAACAATATTTTATTATGTAAAGTAAGCTTACATAATTGGATTGGACATCAGGCATGGCCTATATAAGTCCTCTCCAAGGTCAAGGTTACAAATGTTAAGAAATGACAATGAATTACAATGATGAAAATATTCCTTATAAGTTACATTAAATTCTTTTGTTGATTAAAGGTGGGAAAAAAAATACCCGATAATAAATTAAATTAAATTATACAGAAGAATTATTACTAAGCTTATGCATACTCGCCATACAATATAATGACAAAAAGAAAATAATAATTAATAAATAATAAAAAAAAAATTCATAATAATAAGAAGAAAGAGGTGCAAACAAAACAGCAAAACAGAATAAGTAAGGTGCAAAAAACTAATATTTAAGAAAATACAAAGTAAAAGGAAATAGTAACAACACTGAGTAAAGAGAAAAATAATAAAGTGCAAAGATAAATTACCAAGGAAAATACAACATACACATGAAAATGGAAATGCTGAGACTTGGAATAAATAGAAAAAATAAGAAATATCTGGATTTATTTTTTACTTAATTACAAAATACTTTAAAATCTTTTTGAAGACTTGATGTACTGTTGGACTGCTTCAAAAATTGAACAGTTAACTTTATAAGGTAGTTGCCTATCACCAATTAGCAAAATTTTCAAAATTTGATCAGGAGATATTGTTTCTAGTTCTATTACACTCTGAAGACTTTCAAAAAGTATCATTCTCTGATTATAATAGGCTGGACATCTGAAGAAAAAATGATAGTTATCCTCGTTCAGATATCCACACTTAGTACAAGAGGCTATTTCACTTAGGTATTGATTATACAGGTGAGCATTTAAATTACTAGATTCATTTCTTAATTGACAATGAGTAACGTTTTCCTTGCGATTTCCATAATGAAAGATTTTGACATCCTTTATTCTATCCGTAGCAGGTTTCTTTAAGGCATTTTTAAAACATGAATAAGATTCAATACATTTTGTTTCAAGTGGTAAGTTGTTCCATAAGCTTATTGTAGAAGGCAAAAAACTGTTGAAATATGAGACTGTCCTTGCTTGAGGTATGATAAAATTAAAATTATCAATACATGTATTTCTAAGATTATAACCATGATTTGGTGGCATAAAAGGTGTGACCATTTCTTGTAAATAAAGAGGGGATATACCATAAACAGTTTTATAGAACAACAAGAGTTTTTGTCTTTCCCTTGTCTTATTTAATGGTTCCCAACCCAATTCTAAATACAAAGCATTTCTAGATGAATTTTTCCTGAGTCCTGTTATTATTCGGGCAGCTTCTACTTGAATATTTTCTAAAAGATTTGAAAGTTCTTGTGAGAATTTAATTGTGTAATAAACAATGTAAAATTAAAATGTTCATTCTGTTTCACACTAACTATACTTTTTATGGCCTTGCCATAAAATGGCCAAGGGCTTAACGTCTGAGCTCGTTTCAACATCATCCATTTTTCATTAATTGTTTTGGCAACAGTTGCACACATTCAACTTAATATGGCATATGGATATATCATAGAAATTTGAAGGTCATGTTTGAATTTCCTCGTGGTCTGTTGATTTTTGACAGAGTTATCATTCTTGAACTTTAAAAGGAATTTTCAGTTTCAGCTCTTGAAATTTTAAATTTCCATTCTCTAACTTTTGTAGGGATGTACGTGTAAGACTAAAAATGCATATGCAAGTTTTATACCAGAAAATATGTCCTGTTTGAATGTGGTCCTGCTACATACAAATTTAAAACTAAATATGGCATACAAATTGATACGAGTTTTGCCGCTTGCAGGGGCATTAGTGGCATTACAGCAGATCTAGTTGGAGAGTATGTATCTATGGTGGTATATAAATATTCTTTATTGATCGCCCTGCCTTCTCGTTTAGGGGAAAATTCTTTAAAATAATGTTTACAGGGAAAATTTTTGCCCCATTTAAGTTTTCATTCCTTTTGCCATAATCACCAGTGTTTGAATTTAAAAGGAAAGTACAATTTGTTACAAAGAATGGTAACTGGGCAACTTTAAAATGAAACAAAATTGTTTGCAAGGACAAAGGGGCAAAAATTAGCCTGTATTCCCTTTCTAGCTGGCCACTGACCATCCATCAGATGAATGAAAGCAGATTAAACAAATTTGTTCATTTTTTATTCAACAAAATAGTATATCAAATACATAAATTAAATATTTATACAAAAATATTTATCTTCACAATTTTCATGCACAACAAAAATTTGGAACAGAATTGCCCAGGTTTATATAAAAAATATCCATAAACATTTACAGTAAATCCTTGAGGTAAGTGTAAGAATGCAATTCACTATATCTAAAAATGCAACAGATTAATTTTTGCGTTTTCAATTTCTGCGGTTGCACTATACCGCAAAAAATTATTTACGTGGTACAGTATTGGATCATCAAACTCTAAGATTTAATACAACACTGCCATGATTACGTTTTGTAAATTCATCCAGGCACATGATAAAAAGGTGCATGAGAACAGGTATTACACTATTAAACTTGATTAAACTACTTGCTTTTAGTTACTCTTTGTAAAATAATACTAAAATTATGCCTAGTTACAGATGAAAATAATTGTTGTTGTAACAGTGCTAGTCCACTCAAACAACATTTAAAATCTTTCTTCTTACACCGCAGACGTTAAGTTTAAATGATCTATCAAAATAATTTAAATAAATTTAAAGATAATAATAATTAATGCCTCCAAGCCATAATCTAAAATACCTGTACACTTAAAATTAATTGCTATCAAAATTAAATCGGGATTTTCATCCTAAACTAAAATAAACAGTTGCATAATCAACCACCCCAAAATTCACACGTGTCACATGCATTGAAGACTGATATAAAAGAATTATCATGAAAGCATGTGCATGCATGTGTGCCTGCAAGAGCGCGCACGTGCAACATGAGAAATGTCCAATATAATTAATATAGACGTAACTATTTAATTTTTTGATGAAATACTTTGAAACTCATATTATAAGTATATATTAGCTGCAGATCTGCAGCTCTCCGAAAAAATGTATATTGATAGACCGGAGAGCTACAGTGCCACCCATTGAAAAAACTGTATATATTTATTGCGCACAAAAATGCGCTCGGTTCTTGATTTATTTCTCCATGTTTCTAAAACTGTAATCTCAAAATTTTACTAACCGTGTGTTCCTAACATATTCTTTGACTCTTTCCACAACAAAACATTCCTCATAATTGTTGTTAATAGTCCTCCTGGCCCTGATATTACAATCATCGTACATTTCGCTTATTTGTACTGCCATTTTGGTTTCAGAGATAATTCGGTCCAATTTGCTTCGTTCAGATATCAACTAAGAGAGATCTTGATAGAGGAGAGAGGAATTTTTCGAAATCTTCCATTTTTTGCAATTGAGGTAAGGATTTGGAAGAATTAATCAAGAATCGAGCGCACTTTTTTGTGCGCAATAAATATACACAGTTTTTTCAATGGGTGGCACTGTAGCTCTCCGGTCTATCAATAATTTTTTTTCGGAGAGCTACAGATCTGCAGGTAAAGTATATATTAGAAGCAAAGACAAGAGGACATAGTCAAAATAGCAAGATCTCAAGCGTATGCACGTGCGTTTCGCTCTGATTGGCTGAAACTAAAGTTTCAATACCTTTCTTGCTATTTGACAAAACTCTTTGATATTTTGAACATGGTTATACATTATAAAGATCAACAGCATGATATATAAGAATTATTATGAAAAGCGTGCGCATGCATGTGTGGTGCAATCTGATTGGCTGAAACTTTAAATGTCCATAACTTTCTTCATGTTCTTAGTTTTCAAGGAAACGGGATAAAATTTAGAATATTAATAGGTATAATGGATTCTTTCATTATGGTACTATCAAAATGAATGCACTAACACGCGAAATACGCAAAATGGCCAATATATTTGAAAACATTAAAATGTATATTGAAAAGATTTTTTTTATTTTCACGATATATAGATATGTTAATTGTTTAGAAAACATGCCATGATCATCTTGCATGTGCATTCACGTGTGTGCGCGTACAATGCGTTAAATGACATATAGCTTTTATAAAAGCTTTTATAATTCGTTGATGAAATACTTCGGTACTGATCATATTTTTAAAAATGTCTTGCAGGAATTAGGCACAAAAAAGGATTTGGGAGCGTTTAGGGGAACATCTGTAACGGTCCCCGTTACAATTAGAACTAGTTACTTTAGAGTTCCATATGGCAATCGAAAATTGGCTATTTGATAAATAATTCAATTAACGTCATCTTCTGACCTAGTTAGTCATATTTTAGTTGCATGAAACTCTAATGATTTAAAGACAAGGCTTTATATTTATATTTTCATTTAGGAAGAGGGCTAAAATAGGCTTTGCCTGCTGCCCAATCCCATTCACTTTTATTTGTGAATAACGTTTTCTTCCTTATCATTTCATGGCTATTTAACGTGGCATTGCAAACTTTACGTAATTATGTCAGGATTGCCACTTTTCCTAAGGATATTAAGAATAATTAAAGTTAAGATTTGTGAAAGTGAAAGGATTTGTCAATCAAACCCACCAAAAAATTTAAAGTTTTAATAACTTTTAAATGAAAAAAGATTTTTAATTAATTTTTGTGTGAAATGCTATTAAAATATATAATTCGTGATATTATACAGAAATATACAGAAAATATTAACTTCAAATCTGTGTCCAAGTACCTTAAATAATATTTTTACCAAAGAGGTATCTATCCAATACTGATTAGTGACAAAAAAATTATGTATGTTCTACACTGCGCTCTTTGTTTCCCATAAGAAAAAAAAATCATCAAGAAAAAGGCATATTTTTGGCTTTTTGTTAGATAGCAAAAATAGCATTATTTCTCATGCCATTTACAGCTAGAGAGTGAATATAAATGTGAAAAAAGTTTTAGAAATATTTCTAATATAATCTCTTCTTCAAAATAAGTATCAATTAAACATACATGTATCTGAATGTCATTCTAAAATGTTGATTTTTAGGTGGCCAAACTGGCTCTTGTCATTTATACTCTTTTACATGAAAAAGCAGTCTGATTTTCAAATAAATATGAATAAGATCTATTTCTGAACTCTGAAGATATATGAACATCAAAATACAATAGAAGTTTTAATGAACAGTATATAGCCGTATACACAGGCAACTTTGCCACATATGATTCCGCTATGTGTATCATATGTGAATCAAATGATTGGTTTCATATGAGAATCATGAAAAAAGGGCATCATATATGAATCATATGAAGCAAATCATATGATTTACATATGTGTATTCATATGATTCACATATGAATTGTCACATATGATTCTCATATCATTAAATACACATATGATCCTCATATGAAAGGCAATGCATATGTGGATCATATGTGGCTAAATTGCCTAGTATGCATCATAAAGAGTTAGCTGAAAAGTTTAGATTAATATTTACTCTGCTATAGGTTTATTTCAAGCACAATTCAAATCAGGAGTATAGGAGATTTAAGCGTTTCTCTTTACCAAATAAGTCATCTTTATTTAATTGTTTATCTATGAAGCATTTAAAAACACCAAAAGGTGGCACTCAACGTGATTCCATATCAAAATTTCATCACTCAATGTACACCGCATCGTTACAGCTTCCTTCACACCAGGCAGGGCAGGTTGTACCTCTTCTACATAAAACCTCGGTTGACTGGTTAGCCAGGTGATGGCAGTTGTTGGTAATCAAGTTGTAACCTCCATACTTACATTGGTAATTTTTAGTACAACCTTATTATGCACTCTGAACTGAGGTCACTGTACCCGGCTTATGAGGCTTCCTTATTCCTGCTACATGATTCTCCCCATAATTGTATGGGAAAGATAAATAAGAGATACCAAAAGCAAAAGCTGAAGAGTCATCTCATTTAATTATCAAAAAGTCTGCTTAATTAACTACTGGTATGTTTTATAGTTTCTCCTGTAGGTCTCCTGACCTTATCAACCCATTAATGTTACAATGATAAAAAAAATGTACAATATTTATTTGCCTGCTGTATTTACTTTATCAATTTCGTTTATACGTATTATTTCGTAAGATCTATGGTCTCTACAATGTCCTTGTCAGCAAATACAATGTATCATTGCGTCAAATGCTGACTGACCTTTTCATACTATTAGCAATTGTTAGTTCATAATATACCCACATAATTGACGACGGATTTTCCGTTATTTCCCGATTATGACAAGGAGCATACGGCAGGTGTGACCGATCGGCAGGGAATGATCACTGCACCATGGCACCTGATCCCACCTCTTAAGTTTTAGGGGATCCGTGTATCCTCTGCTCCGATTTTGTATTGTTTTGGAATTTTTAGCTTATATACTGTTCGTTATCTCCATGTGTATTATTTCATCATAATAAACATCTTTCATTAAATATTTAAATAAAAAATACAGTATGTGTTTCTTCTTTGAGCACTTTAATTAGCCACATTGGAAATATGTGATTTTATAGTACCAGCAATCAATTGGCAAATAATTATAAATGTAATTTATATTTACATTAATTTCGGATACAGTAAATTAAAAAATAAGTAGCTTTTAGACAGGAAGGTCATTGAAATACCAGGTGGGAAGAAGCACAAATAAAAAACCAGAGTAGTTTCCCCTGTATTCTATAAAGCGTTGGGACAAATCTAAAGTGTCTTCAAGTTAAAAACAAAAATTAAACAAAAAAATAAATACAGATATTGATTTTGATTGAAATGCATTTTGGCAATATAGACTAAATTTTGGCGAGCCAAGGGTCGCCTGCGTAACGCACTAGTTAGAGCGTCTGTTCTGATATTTTAGAGGTTAATTCGTATTTGCTTTACTCCGAATTAGTATTGTTTGAGTGAACTTCTGAGTTTGAATTATGTTTTATCTCCATATATGTCACTAGTAAAATGAAATTTAACGCAAAACAAAGTTTGACATGGAAAGTATGTAAGTTCTCCGAGCCGGAAAAAAGGACAGTCATGCAATATTTGATTTAGCTATTTCAAAGACCACTACAAACATTTTAAGTTTTCTTACATTCAATTCAACTAAATAAACAACATTTGAATTAAACATGTTAAAAGACAAAAATAGATAAATATTTAAAATATTTACTCTGAATTGATCAATATCACCATCACTTTACACCAAAATAATGAATACCAAATTTGGATGAAAAATAAAATAAAAATTTTTAAATGCAGATTTTAAAATACGTTTTGTAAAAACAATAATATTTCTTTATCAAGAACTTTGTATTCAAGTCCACTTAAGTTTATGAATTTCACAAAATTAGATAAAAAAAAAAGAAGATAAAAAACATGAAATTAAATTATAGCTTTAAACTTTTAAGATACACTTTAATCAAATAAATAGTACCGATTTTTGTTTTAAATGTACAAAACTGCACTTTATGAACAGTGACAAATTCTTATTGTCTTTTTTATAGTTGCTTTACTTTACATGTAACTTGTCTATCATATAAGGGACATGATGAAAAGGTTTGATGAAAAATTATAATGTTATACATGCATTGTACTTATATTTCATGTGTAATTGGAATCATGAGTTCACGAGATGAAAACATTTCTTTACAAAGAAATAAAACACGAATTGTTTTTCTTTATTACTGATTAAGCGTTACAGCTTCCGCTACACCAAGTAGGACACGTCGAACTTTCACACAAAACTTCAGATATCTTGTTGGCAAAGTGATGGCAGTTGTTGGTGAAGATGTTGTAATTGTGGTAAAAACATCTGTAATTCCTGGCACATCCATCAATACATTCTGAACTGAGCTCGCTGTACCCAGCTGGGGATGATTCTCGACCCCCGCTACATGCACTCCCCCATAATCGTTTTTTAGAGATTGCCACTCTGGAATTAGCTAGTCGAAGAAGATACTTATATTTAGAATACCAAAATCTTTTATAATGATATGATTAAATAGTTTTTTCATTGGAACTTCATTATTTGATCATCAATTAGTCCTTAAAAAGATTTAAGGAGGCTAGGGGGTCAACAAATTATTTTTTTTATTAACCACGAGATATAACTTAAATTTTGGGATATGATATCTTAAGCTATCAATTATCATTTGGCAAAGAAAAAAAATCATAAATAAATTTAAATTTGACTTTATATGGAGCTCTTCTTCTAAAGGAGATCAAGATAGTCTAAAAATGGCCACCACCACCCAGCCCTTTTAATACAGTATATTAAATATATTTAGTATATAAAATTGACCAATATTCGGGATATTTTAATAATGTTTATTTTATGAGAATAAATATTCTCTCCATGATTTGGTTTATACTTCATAAATGCTGTACATGAATTATGTTTTCTTCTGACAAAATGTGATTATACAGTATTAAAACAATAGGAAAATGGCCTTTTCATAAATTATTTTTAAAATGCAAATGCCATACTTAGTACATGTATTTAAATAAACTTTTTGTCAGAGAAGCATTGATTGATTGATTGTATATTGTTAAACGTCCCTCTCGAGAATTTTTCACTCATATGGGGACGCCACCACTTGCCGATGGATGGCTGCAAATTTTCTCCTGTACTCGGCCTAAGGGCCATTGAGCAGGGAGGAATCTTTTTCGTACCAGCACCTACTGCGACACGGGACCTCGGTTTAAACGATATCATCCGAAGGACCGGTCTCCACGTCCCACAGTGGGATTCGAATCCGCGACGTAAGGATTGACTCCTTACTTCGCGACTCTAGAGCAGACGCTCTAACCACTGCGCCACGCGAAAGACCAGAGAAGCGTTGAAGTAATAGAATGAAGGACTTACCTTGAAAATCATAGTATTTCCCTCGATACTCAATGAAACGGTGGGTTAAACTCCAAGTTCCCCTTGAGGGAAAACTACGTTTTTTCCTGCCTATAGTCTCCTTTATAACACATGCTAGGTTAGAGGTGCCAAAATAATAAGGATAGGCACCAGCTGTGAAAAATGAAATTGAATATTTAGTGTGATATAGTAGAGGTAAACAGATTAAAATTTTCTTTAAAAAAAGTGAAATTCAGAAATGAGGGCTCAGACCTATGAGATATCGGACTTTTTAGATATCAATTGAAACTAGAGGTACATGAGCACTGAGACTACTAAATGAACTCCCTGTATCCCTTATGTTTACAACTGTATAATGTAGATTCCTAATTATACGCGTTGAAATAATTATCGCGAAATTTCGCGAGAAGCATCATCCGCGAAATAAAATAACTTGCTTTTATATTTATGTTGCTGAAATATATGTAAAATCTTTTGATCAACTGTCCATTCGCGAATTATTATTCCCGCAATATGACGTTGAAGAGCGAATTCGCGGTAATAAGTACTCGCGAAAAATAAGGGATCTACAGTAATAGAAATGTTCAATCGACATGTTTTGCTCAGGCCCGAAATACTAGGAAGTGTCATATCCAACAGGAAAAAAAAGTAGGAGGTGCACATTGGCATTTAATGTTATAAAGAATCTGTGAAAATTAATTTAATTCGGTGGTATAAGAGGGGTTGAGGATAAGAGATAGGCCCCCTTCAGTATTTTAGAAAGATTGGCAGTGTCCATGTTTTTTTCTATGGGAAAACACCGACCTCTAAAAAAAGAGTTAATTTAAGGTACCATCGAGTAGTAAACATACCTTGTTGACCACTCACAACTGTCCTGTCGTTATTATCATCAGCCAAACGAAAAAAAAACAGATGTAAAAAAAGACCTCATAATTCAATGAGAAACGTCAGTCAACATTCGACTTATTTACGGTGGGTTGTAATTGATAACAAATTATGACTAATTTTCGCGCGTTGTCTCAAAAAAGTAGGAACTACATATTAATGTAATTTTGTACTTGTTTGTCGAACAAGTTAAAATCAATTTTTTAGGTTTTTATTATCAATGACTTATTCTTTAACTAACGGTCACGGTAGCCTAGTGGTAGAGCGTTCGCTTTGTGATCGGGAGGCACGGGTTCGATTCTCGTTCGCGGCGCCGCGTCAAACCTTTGCCAAGCACTCGGCACTAGTAGTGAAAGTCATGGATCTTTAGGATATGACCTTAAAACGTAGGTTCCGTGTCACTGTAGGCGTTGGCACGATAAAGAACTTTTAATGCACTGCTCAACGGCCCTGAGTGCAGAGCATAGGTCTAAATTTGAAGTCCTTCACTGGCATACAGTGACGTCTCCAAGATAAGAGTGTACATGAGAAAAATTCTCGATTGTGACGTTAAATAATATACAATCAATCAATCAATCAATAAAATTACCTTCCTGCAGCACAAAATTGAAATAATGAATTAAATATGTTGTCACCGCGTTCAGCTAGCATAATTCGTGTGCCTTTTAACGGGAAATATCATACAAAAATACGGCATTGACAGGTGGTAAATTAAGCAGAATAAACAAGCAGGAATAATAAGCTTTTAGTTCCCTCCAACATTATTTTCTCTGTAAAAAGTTTTTTCCTAAAATTAAATATTTTAAGAATTTGCATAATTTCATTATTCTTTTTTTTTTTTTAATATAAACCTTGGAATAAGACTTGTTTACATGCTCACAGGACAAATATTGATACGTGTCAATGGTATAAAAACAGTGATTTGCTATTATTAATATATATATCAAGGTTAAATTATTTATAGATACCATGTAATAGGACAGTTACTATTTCCAACACATACTCATAGGACAAATATAAATACACTGTACACATCAATGGAACAAATGGCGAAAATTGTTAAGATGTTAATTACTAGCTATATATTGAAAAGGCGTTTCAAGTTGCTGGCTATGATATCCCATGCGATCATTCTTTAAAAAGAATATTTATAATATCATGGCGCCAGTCCAAGAATTTTCTTTTATAACCCTTCGTAGAGATAAAGTAAGATATAAGTTTGAATAAAACCATCTCAAGATTAAAGATATATCAGTCCTTTAGAATCATCATGTCGAAACAAAAGGCAGTGTCATGAAACAATTGAGTGTGTATGTAATAATGTTATGACATCATACTTCTTTGTTCCAGAAAAAAAAACATTTGCGACTGTGTCATTCGTATTCTTTAAAGTACTTCAAAACAAAAACAAATGCGAAGGTTGTTCGGTAAACTTGTCGTGGACAAGTTGTATAGATTGAAAAAATAATCAACACAGCGTTCTAAAATGGTCACTACTTTTTCGTGCATTTTTCATAAATATACATAGCAAATTTTAAATAGATATATGCATAAATAAACAAATTATGAAATTTTTAAGTGTTATATCGCCTTACGGCGCACTAATGCAAACGTCTAAGTGTCTGAAGCAAGGTCGCGTTTCCTCTTTGCTAAAAAAGGTAAAGTCCCAATAAAATAAAGGAAATTCATTGATGCACATACTTGTGTTACCGATTATTCCTTCAAAAGTAGTCGAGGAACCAATATCAAAATCATATGGGGCCATCATCTGAAGATTTGTTAGTAAGTATTGGACAATATAATATTCTCACAATCATTAAAAAAAATAGACATCTTATATCGACGGTCTACTGTGACATCGTCTTTCGCTATTACCCTATCTGTTTATCCCTATATTTCACTAAGAAATCTATTTCAATTGTATATTTCAGGTTTGGTGATTTTGTTTTTCAATTTTATCTTCTGTATTCATTAATTAAAAGTCTCTTAGGGCGTTATTACTACATCTAAATCAAACAGAACTGCTTTACAGTATCGCATAATGTCTTCAAACGTCGTCATTTTTCGTATGCTGTGTTTACCACTTCCCCATTTCAAATGCCAGGGACACTGCCAAAAAAGCAATTGCCTTTACATTTTATAAAAGATGTGTATTAATAGATAGTGTTTTAAAAACAAGATATTTTTCTTCATTTTATCTTTTTAATACTTTTATTTCGAAAAAATACTATTATAGCGCATTTCCTTATGAAACCCTGTTTCTTTATCATGCACCATAGGACTGTGCCCTATGTATATTCCAGCATTATAAAATCTTTATTGTTGTCATTTTGTTTTAATAAAAAAAAAATAAAGATACACCTAAATATGATAAATAAACATTTGCAGAAAATTTCAGCTCAGTGCGCCCCCTTTTTTCGACAAGAACGCTTTGTCCACGATTTTACCGGACAACCGTTGTACATGTACATACATTAACTTTGTTTTACTGCTCGTGATTTTCATTTACAACTTTATAAAGTTTAATTAAGGCAAAGTATTAAAATTATGACTCGACTTTTAAATACATCGACGACGTATTGTCAATTAACAATGGTAATTTCCATTCCTACGTCGATACGATATATCCTAATGAGCTTTAGATAAAATACCCCGGGTAAAGTACAGAGTCTGACACGTCTGTTTCATATATAGATATTTTGCCTGAGAGACGTTAATGGTAATCAACAACCAAGCTATATGATAAACGTGATGACTTTAACTTTCCTATCGTCAACTTACTTATGCAGCATTAAACCTTCATCACCTGCATACGGAGTGGGTGTGTCTCGGTTAGTTCGGAACGCTGGGGCGTGCTGTGCGTGTGGGCGGTTTCTAGAGCGAAGTGGGTTATTAACAAGCAAGTTGACGAAACAAAAATATCAGCAGACTCATCATTTCGTAAATATGGTCGATACAATGACCTTGTCAGCAAATACAATTTATCATTGAGCCAAATGCTGACTGACGTTTTTCATACTAATTGTAAGTCCATTGTTTACACACTGGATTGATGACGGATTTTTTCGTTGTTGCCTGATCATGACAAGGAGCACACGGCGGTGTGACCAGTCAGCAGGAGATGCTCACTCCTCCATGGCACCTGATTCCACTTCAGATGTTTTGGAGTCCGTGTTTGCTCTGCTCCTGTTTTGTTTTTGTTTTTTTGGACTTTGATATTGAATACTGTTCGTTGTCACAATATCCTTCATAAAAAAAAAAGCCGTGATGACAGTGTAATGATAACGCAAACTTCAAATTACAAATTACATTTTGTCTCATATCCGGAGTTAGAGTTATTTATGCTTTTAGAGAAACACAATATAATGAAAAACTACTGACTAACATTCTAACAAGTGCAACCTTTACAACTACAACTTCATGATGTAGAAACTAAAGTGTACAGTTTTAGGCAGAATAATTTTTCGGTGAAGAGAGCAAACTCTGTATACAGCATGTTAGACGTGCATAGCAAAATTGAATCGTGTAAGTCATTCTTACTGAATAATTTTCTACTTTATTTAATGGATAAGACAATTGTTATTTTCATGTTTCTGATACCAAAAAATATTAAAATTGCTCTGATAAAAATATTTGAAACAACCTAAGTCTCTAGAATAAGTAATGAAATATGGAAATCAGAAAATACGCTAACTCGAGAGTCAATTCAAACATTACAAATCAGGAGTAGAGCAAACACGGACCTCAAAAAAGATTAGAAGTTTGATCAGGTATACCAGAACTAACTATCTCAACCGACCGGTCACATATGTTGTGTGCTTTTCGTCATAATCAGGCAAACGAAATATTCGTAAACGATCCAGCATGTCTAAAAAGGTCTTTAAAAAAAATGGTATGAAAATTTTCAGTCGGCATTCGACTTTATGATAGATTGTGTTTGCTGAGAAGATCTTTCTTTTGATTATAAATCTTGCAAAAAACGGCTAAAACTAGACTGTAGATATCCTTGTTTTATCGAATTGTTTGTCCATTACTTACCTTATTTAAAAAATTGATCAACTCAGAGATATAAACTTCACATGCAGTTGATAGGGATTTTCTGCTACAAGCGTAAGGAAAGTTGATGATTGAAAAGATAAAGTTATCATCTTAATTATAAATCATTATTCGTGTGTAAGAATAGCAAGAATCTTAAACAAAAGTTAAAGGCGAAGATTTGAGCAGAATACAGGCACAAGTAGTAAGGTTTTAGTTCCCTTCAATTTTGTTTCTCTGTTGAAAGCTTATATA